ATGCCCCAGGTCAGTGGTAGAAGGGCCCCCTTACATCTGTGGTTTGATGGACAAGGGCTCATTTACATTGGTCGTCTGAAGAAAAGTGCCCGATTTATGTTGGTGGTGACTAGAGAACTGCATCAACAAAGAAGTGCCCCTTTACGTTGGTGGTTAGTGCAGTTCCTTAATTTTTTGGTGGTCAGTAAAGAAGAGTTATCAGTGGAAAAGGGCCCACTCATTTTGGCAGTCAGTATCAAATAGACATTGGTGGTCTGAGAAGTACACCCTTACGTTGGTGGTCAGTGTTCTTTGTCAGGAATTCAACCAAAATTAATTCAATATCTGTCTTACACATTTGACTTATGATGAAATACAAAGTAGTTTATTTAAATATGCTACTTTATGTTTCTCTACAATACAGCAAAAGAAATAAACAATAGTGAAGGAGGCCTCTTGATAAAAGCAAACTTAAATATAGTAATCTTGCTAACAGCTGCTATGTTCCCATCATAATAATCGGGTATTTGTGGGAATAAAGTCAGGTGCTCTTCAGTCAGAGCCAGAAAATTGGGCAGCACAGGACAGTCACTGAACAGTCAAGAGTATATATATAACGACCTGGAAGGTAAAATTCTAAGGATTCCAAGATGAGGGGTGTACTGGTATTCCTTGCCTTGGTGGCTGCCGTCTATAGTGCTGGGGATTTCAGTGGGTATGTAGAATATAATTCTTAAAATTATAATATAATTCTTAAAATTGCTTGAAATAAAACAGCAGAGTGCACAGGGCACAACTAGATTTCTGGCAGGTTCAATGGGCATTTTTTTGCACTTATTAAACGTACATAACAAAATGTTTAAAAAAAACAAAAAGGAGTAAATCAAGCTCATTTTTAGGCCCGGTTCACACTAGTGAGGGCCTTGCAGCCCCATTTGCATGGTTACAGCAGCCCATTCCTTTGAATGGGCTGCTGTGTTCTCATTTCATGCAAGGAAAAGGTGCATGTACCTTTTTCAAAATGCATCCACGCAGAAATGAGATGAATGGGGGTGCAATTCAGAATGTGGGGCTAGTATGAACCAGGGGTAAGGTTTTACACACATTTTAAGACTGAACTGCAGGCACAGTCCCCCCTCCCCCCCCCAACTATTCACTAGGTTATTTTTTAAAAATATCCTAAATGCCTGACATAGTTACCTAGATCCATGGTTTGAGTTTTAATTCTCTTTATTATTATTACTATTCCATTTACGCATCTAAAAACATACAAATATATTACAGTTAAATAGCTTCACTTCACACAAATCTACCATAATCCATGGTCTTATGTAGAGTAGAGTCCAGCTTCTTCTTTTTCCCTGCCAAAGAGGATGGTCTTTCTTTGGTTGTCTGCATCAATGCCTGGGTGATGTGGACACTTCTTATTGACTTTCCAACAGCAAGTTCTTTCATGATCCAGAAGACTGCAGTCGTATGACAGGTGATGACCTCTTAACTGCAGCTCTGGTTTCACCAGTCATGATTTCTTTAGTTCAAACTTACCATGTACCTATATCTTTATAAATGTGCACACCTTGTTTGATTCTTGCAGTCTGCTTTCAAAGCAATAATAAATGTTCCTGTATAAACAGCTGTTTTGGAATTTAGAATGACTTGACGTTAAAAACTAAATCAACAGCATCACAAAAAAATCAATCCATCCATTTGCCCCATCATTAATATCATTATAAAGTCTTTAGTTTACCTGTTTTAATAGTGTTAATGTGGCTTTTACATTATTATTTCATCTACTTGCAGACAACAAGTCCTGAGAATCCTTCCCAACAGTGAGAATGAAGTAAACCTGGTCCGTGAACTGGAATCCTTTGAGGACCTGGGGGTAATTTTTTTTTTTTTATATCAAATCATTGTTATCGAAAACGTTCTTAAAGCAACATCTATATACATACGTTTTATACATACAAATAAAATAACAAAACATACCCCCCTCCCCTTCCCACACATACATTGGTGTATCACTCTCACTACCCATATTATTAAACCAATTAGGCTGTTTTCCCAAATATAAACTTAATGTACATTCATTTCTTATTTTCACATTTTAAAATTATTCTAACACTCTACTCACCACCCACTCATTAGAGGTCAATCCTATAATATCCACCCACGGTCCTCAGATTTTCTCAAATTTCTTAAGACACCTCCTTTTCATTTAACAAACGTTTCACTTCTTATAGTGTTTTTTACTATTATAACCCATTCTGTACTTGTTGGAGAGTCTGATTCCAGCCACCTCTGTGCAATAAGCTTCCAAGTCTGAAATAAACACAAGGTCCCCTTATCAATATAGCACAATATATATAACTTAGGATCCAGTCCCAAGGACACCCCAAACACAGAATTTATGCTACCAAGAATATCTAACCAATTCTATTCAGTTTGGGGGATCTCCAGACCATATGGATGAGGTCACCAGTAAGATTCCCACATCGCTGGCATGCAGCATCCGGATGTCTCCCAAATGTAAACAATGTTTTGGGGATACTGTAAGTTCTATGTAATAAAAATAAATGTGAAATCCTCTTCAAGGAGGAGATGGACACCAATGGTACTGCTTCCAATATATATTTCCACTCCTCTTCTGTATTACTCCCTATGTCCTCCACCCATCTACTTCTACACGGGAGATCAACATTTCCCTCTAATGCCGCAATATGTTTCTAAGCATAAACATCAGATATCATTTCCTTAGAAGATCATGCAAATATTACATTACGTAACAGGGGTATCCCACTCCACTCTAATAGCTTTGCTTTAAACTGCTCCCTCAGAGCATGCCTAGCCTGCAGATATCTGTAGAAAGATTGATAATAGATAGCAAACTCTTGTAATTCTTGAAATGTTTTCAGTGACTCAAACGTATACAACTGGGCCAGATTTACTATCCCACGGTTTTCCCACTCCTGAATTCTTCCTATACTAAATAGTTCCTGTGGGTTCTTATTATCCCAAACTAGGAAGAATTCTGTAAATCCTGGGGGTAATTATATAACTTTTTCACCCTCCCAAACGGACATATGTGTGTATATAGATATACAGTGTATATCTATATACACTGCTCAGAAAAATTTAAAGGAACACTTTTTAGTCAGAGTGTAGCATCAAGTCAATTAAACTCCTGGGATATTGATCTGGTCAGTTAAGTAGCAGAGGGGGTTGTTAATCAGTTTCAGCTGCTTTGGTGTTAATGAAATTAACAACAGTTGCACTAGATGGGCAACAATGAGACAACCCCAAAACAGGAATGATTTTACAGGTGGAGGCCACTGACATTTTTTCCCTACTTATCTTTTAGGACTGTTTTTCACTAGTTTTGCATTTGGCTAGGATCAGTGTCACTACTGGTAGCATGAGGAGATACCTGGACCCTACAGAGGTTGCACAGGCAGACCAACTCCTCAGGGATGGCACATAAATATGTACCATTGCCGGAAGGTTTGCTGTGTCTCCTAGTACAGTCTCAAGAGCATAAAGGAGATTCCAGGAGACAGGCAGTTACTCTAGGAGAGCTGGACAGGGCCATAGAAGGTCCTAACCCATCAGCAGGACTGGTATCTGCTCTTTTGTGCAAGAAGGAACAGGATGTGCACTGCCAGAGCTCTACAAAATTACCTCTAGCAGACCACTGATGTGAATGTCTGTCCAAACAATCAGAAACAGACTTCATGAGGGTGGCCTTACAGCCGAATGTCCTCTGGTGGGTCCTGTGCTCATTGCCCGACACCATAGAGCTTGATTGGCATTTGCCATTGAACACCAGAATTGGAAGGTCCGCCACTGGCGCCCTGTGCTTTTCACAGATGAGAGCAGGTTCACCCTGAGCACATGTGACAGACATGGCCTGGAGAAGCCATGGAGAATGTTATGCTGTCTGTAACACCGTTCAGCATGACCGTTTTGGTGGTGGGTCAATGATGGTCTGGGGAGACATATCCATGGAGGGACGCACAGACCTCTACAAGCTAGACAATGGCACCCTGACTGCCATTAGGTATCGGCATGAAATCCTTGGACCCATTGGCAGACCCTACACTGGTGCAGTGGCTCCTGGGTTCCTCCTGGTGCACAAAAATGCTCAACCTCATGTGGCGACAGTATGCAGGCAGTTCCTAGAAGATGAAGGAATTTATACCATTGAATGGCCCCCTAAATCCAATAGAACACCTCTGGGATATCATGTTTTTGTCCATCTGACGACGCCAGTTTGCACCTCAGATTGTCCAGGAGCTCAGTGATGCCCTGGTCCAGATCTGGGAGGAAATACCCCAGGACACCATCCATCATCTCATTAAGAGCATGCCTCGACGTTGTCAGGCATGCATACAAGCACGCGGGGGTTGCACAAACTACTGAGTACCATTTTGAGTTGCTGCAATGAAACTAGCCTGCTGCATAATTTTTTCACTTTGATTTTCAGGGTGTCTTTGAATTCAGTCTTCTGTAGGTTGATCATTTTCATTTCCATCAAACAATGGGACATCCATACGTTCCTAACACATTACCCAGTCCCTAACAGTATAGATATCCAGCATGATATTATTCCCCATTGAGATCTATTGTGTCTTCAAAGTGTTCCTTCAATTTTTTTTAGCAGTGTATATATACTGTGTATATGTGTATATATATGTATATATATATATATATATATATATATATATATATACACACACCACTATAGTAGGTACATGTATGTCTTAGAAAGGAAAATAGAAGTATTAGTAAGGTTGTTTTTATTATTTGTATTTTATTTTTGCCTACTATATCCTGTGTTAAGTGCTGGTACCTTGTGGGTGTATTAGTGTGTCTGTGTGTACCTTGTACTTTTCTCTAATTGTGTAGTTTCCAAAACCAGCAGGGTATTATTACATAATGTCACATTCAACCATCACCTACATAATTGTGGGACTGAGAACATTAGGTGCACATTTTTTCAAAACAATGCTGCTAAAAAAGGCTTTATGGATTCTTTACAATCTTTACTTTATGTCTTGCAGCTTGACTTCTGGACCTCACCTTCACATCCCAAGAGATTCATTGACATCCGTGTGCCATTCTACAGCCTCCAGGATGTCAAGGTCTACCTGGAGTCCAACAACATCCAGTACAGTATCATGATCCACGACTTGCAGGTGACTGGTATCACAATCATTAAGGATACAGTTACATAGTTAGTCTGGCTGAAAAATACAAAAATCCATCCAGTTCAACCATAAAAAAAAAAAAAGTTATAATCCTACACCCACAGTTGATCCAGAGGAAAGCAAAAAACCTAGCAAAGCATGATCCAATTTGCTCCTGCAGGGGAAAAAATCCTTCCTGATCCCCCGAGAGGCAATCGGATATTCCCTGGATCACCTTTACCTATAAATGTTAGTAACCAGTTATATTCTGTGTATCCAAGAAAGAATCCAGGAATTTTTTAAAGCAATCCACTGAGCTGGCCAGAACCAACTCTTGAGGGAGTCTATTCCACATTTCCACAGCTCTTACTGTGAAGAAACTTTTCCGTGTTTGGAGATTACATTTCTTTTCTTCCAGACGTAAAGAGTGCCCCCTTGTCCTCTGTGATGACCTCAGGGTGAATAACCCTATACCGAGTTCACTAGATGAACCACTGACGTATTTATACATGTTGATCAGGGCTATGAGGAGGGCTATGTCTTGCTGTCATTTGGAAATGTAAACAAAAAAAAAAAAATTCTGCATGATCTAATAAGACGAAGTGAAAACATTGATAAAAGCCAATAGAATTAAGCCTGCATTGAAAATGCTTGTTGAACTTCTATGAGGCAGGGCCAAACTTTTTAGAATATGTATTATTTATAAATAATTCCTGACAAAATATTTAATTGCATGCTATTTCCACAGGACCAGCACTATATATAAGTAATGAAATAAAACATCTACTGAAAGAAATACAGATTTTCATTACTGACTTTTCCTTCTGAAAATGCTAGTTAGTTGGCTATCATGCTGTTCCAATGTCTTGAGCTATTTTTGAGTTGCTTGCTAGGAACAGTTACGAAAATCAGCAATTTTGACTTCAGTTACTGCATGCTTGTTCAAGGTCAGTGAATCAGGCAGAATCAAAAGTAGAGACAGCCAAGCAACTGGCATTTTTAGAAGATGATAATCAATGGAAGTTTCTACATTTTTTATTATACATGTCCATTATATTGTACCTGTACCCAGAATGTGCACATTAAAGTATTACCATATTCTGAAGAAACAGTAAAAGCGCTTCAAAACAAACACTCATTCACCTTTGTAACTGCAAGGATTTTGGAGAAATTCATTTTCAAAGTTCACAACACAGGCATTTGAATCACGGCTCCTTTCTCTTTTATTTTGCATATAGAGCAGGAATTGTTCAGAATTGTCCAATGTATAAACACACATTGGAAATAACAGTATGTATAAAGCACAAGCTTAACCATTCTAGTCCAGTGTATCATTCTAAAAAGGCACAGGTACAGCGTCCATTTGTCACAGGGTCATTTTAAAATGGCAGCTGGACTTTGGCAGTTCCTGCTGGTCCAGGCGGCCTCTTGTGCGTAAACTGTTAGCGGTAATTGACAGCTGGGGTCCAGCACTAATCCTAGGAACTGGAACTGGGCTCCTGGGCTTCCATTCCTCCTACAGACCACTGCATAGGAGCATGTTTTTCATAGAAAATGTTAAAGCAATACTTCCTTGTTGTGTTAACATTGGGAGTATAGTGACAGCACTTTCTATCAGTACAGAGGCAAAGGCAGAACTGTTACATCTCTTTCTAGCTGCTCTCTGCAGCTGTGGAAATGGTTATTAGGTCACCACTCACTAGATCCCGACCCCCATGAAGAGGAAAAAGTCTAAAAAAAATAGCATTTTCTTGTAATGTTTCACAACGCAGAATATAATGCAGGAATATAATCAACAAACTCTACTGATTAAAATAATATTACATTATATCATCCAGATCGTCAAATTATTATTGTGACCCGGGGATACTTTGAGGTGGGAATTATAGTCACACACACTATATACAGTATTTATTTATTATTTGTATTTTTTTTTACACTTTTTAAACTTTTTTTTAATTTGTCACCCTTTATTCCCAATACAAACCAAGGAAATAAAAACATGTATATCCAAATGTGCAACCAAATGAAATCCTTAGCTATCCCCCCAAAAAAATGTATAATATGTTGGGTAGACTACAAACGCTAAAAATTACGATGTATAGAACTGTGACATTGCTAAAAACAAAAAGAAGGCCTTGAGGGGATTTAGGGAGAAAAAGTCCTGGAGACTAAAGTGGTTAAAGACCATCTATGGGAAAAGATCTTGTTTTAAAGCTGTTTTACTGCTTGATCACTTGCCCTCCTGAGGATTTATCGCCCCTTCCTGACCAAGCCATTTTGTATGTTATGGCACTGCGGTACTTTAACTGACAATTGCACAGTTATGCAATGCTGCCTTCAAATAAATTTTGCGTCCTTTTTTTCCCCACAAATTGAGCTTTCTTTCGATGGTATTTGATCGCCTGTGCATTTTTTATTTTTTGTGCTATAAAAAAAAAGTCCAACAATTTTGAGAAAAAAACAACAATTTTGACTTTTTGCTATTAAACATGTCCAGTAAAAAACTTAAAAAAATCTAATTTTGTCAAAAATGTAGGCCAAAATGTATTTTGCTACATGTCTTTGCTGACAAAAATCCCAATACATGTAAATTAATTGGTTTACGTGAAAGTAATAGCGTTTACAAATGGCAGTATATATACTGGGATTTTTACATTTTTTTTAAATTTTTACTAGTAATGGCAGCGATCAGTGACTTATAGCAGGACTGCGGCGGACATTCTGACACTGGGCGGAACTGATTTGGTGTCACTGACATCCCCAGTGACACCAACACAGTGATCAGTGCTAAAAAAAAGCGCTGACACTGTACTAATGGCACTGGGCAGGAAGGGGTTAACATGAGGATCGATCAAAGAGTTAACTGTGTGCTGGGTGTGTTTTACTATGGGGTGCTGTCTGTGTGCTTTACTGTAAGCACACTGCTTTGGATGGCTGTGCTGTGCACAGCCATCCACAGCAGTGTGCCTGAGCTGACAAGGAGGTTGTTAGTAAACAAAACAGTTCTGCTCCGTGTCAGACGGGTGACGGCGAGTAATCACTGACTAGGACCCTGTTACGGGCCGCGGAAATGCAAAATCATGTGATATACGTGATTTTGCACACCCGTGATGCCCTGTAGCAGTATTTCTGCTATAGGGCGGTCAGGAAGCAGTTAAAAATATGTAAATACTTTAATGTCCATCATCTGAACACAGGGGAGATTTACGTTTTCCACAATTAACAAACCAGACTGCTCATTCTTCGTACATAGTTAGGCTCCAAAACAGTCACTAAGGATCCATGCACACTTAAAAAAATGCTGCTCCTAGAAGAATTTAGGGTTTTGCCTGTAGAAGCAAATAATGTTATCCTATGTGTTCATGCACATTAGGTCATTTAGAGGCATGTTTTAAGCTCAGTGGTTAGAGGCAGAAAAAAAAAAACGTCTGTTTTGCGTTTTTGAGAGCGGTTTTCTGGCAGATAAAAAAGGCTAAACACTCCTAAATGTTGCCAAACTCTCCTCAACACTAGTTCAAAATTAGCTTTTTTTTAATGCCAAGAGCACTAGCATTTTTTAAGCCAGTGTGCATGGACCCTAAATGTATTTTTGACTTGAAAGAATTTGCTTATGTAAATGAAATGCATGCTCCCGCTAAACAACTCTTGCTGTGATTGTACATGGTGGGAGTTTGTCAACCAATGATTCATGGCTGGGACCTGCTGATTGGCTGTATCCAATCTCAGCCCGGAGCTCAATGTTTACAGTCAACACAGGGCTCTGTACAATGGGAACAATGTCTCTGTTTCTTCTCCCTAAAAAGCAGGGAGAAGAAATAAAGAGATATCTAGTAAAAAGCAGCACACATTACATAAATTAACACTTGTTAGGCACACATTTAACCCCTTGATTACCTGAGATATTAACCCCTTTACAGACAGTGTAATTAGTATAGTGACAGTGTACAGTATTATCACTGTACTAGTGTCACTGGAGATGTCAGTGGCAGTTAGTCAGTTCCCAGTTAGTGTCAGATTGCCCACTGCACTATCACAGTCCCTCTATTAGTCACTGATCACTACATTAGTAGTATAAAAAAATTCCAGTAAATATACCATAATTTGTAGACGCTATAACTCTCAAGCAAACCTATGAATATACATTTATTGGGATTTTTTTTACCAGACATGTAGCAGAATACATTTTGGCCTACACTCACGAAGAAATTAGATTTTTTTTTTTTAAAGTTTTATTGGTTATGTTTTATAGCAGAAAGTAAAAATATTGTTTTTTTTCAAAAATTTTCAGCCTTTTTTATATAATAAAAAAATAAAAAAAACAACGGTAATGATATACAATCAAAAGAAAGCGCTATTAGTGTGAAAAAAATTATATACATTTTGTTTGGGTACAGCGTTGCATGACCTCGCAATTACCAGTTAAAGTAGTACAGTGTTAAATAGCAAAAAATGGACTAGTCATGAAAGGGGTAAAACCTTTCGGAACTGAAGTGGTTATACTTACCTTACCCCTGTCTTTTCCATTGCTGAGCAAGGCGTCACTGTCCTTGCAGTAAGATCACTAAGGAATGTTAAACAGTCAAAATCAAATGAGAAGAACAAAAGCATCTTCTTGTGAGATTTCAGCTCCTATGTATTCCCCAGTATCTAGCCGGAAGGAGTGTAATGTCATCTTCACATAGTTGCTGCAGGGAAAAGATGGGGGTAAGTATAAATCCTAACTTTGTTCTTTATCAGTACATTTTTTACCTACTATAAGCAGGTGATTTGTGACGAGGCCCAGACATTGTAAGGTGCCTTGGATTTTACTGCAAGGTATGCTTTAACAAGTCAATCTATAAATCATTCTCTGAACGAATGTGACAAACACTTGCAGAACCCTAATGAAAATTTCCATATTTTGTGCAATTTAATTATCTCCTATGATCATAGGCGCCAAAATGGTGTATTTTTTTAACTACCCCAATCAGGAAAAAATGCATTATGGCTAGTAGATGGCATTTAAAGACATAGCAGATACAGCATAATTATAATTATATTACACAAATACCGGGGCTGTGCAAATGTTTTTCACATGCCTACAGCAAAGTTTTTAAATAAATAAATTAACTTATTAATTTCTTATTAACTTAAAAAAAGATCAAGCTAGGTTTGCATAATTATGAATTGGTGTCACAGTGCTGGTTTTTTTTTCAGATCTTCATTTCCAAAAATGCATTTTGTGGTGATCTACTTTTTGTTAATCAGCCGTCAAATACTTTTGTGGTAATATGTTGCTGCAGGAAAAGGCAGGGTAGAAATAGATCCATTTTTTGTATTTCCTTATTTAATAAGTTTTGAAAGGAGTAAATTACTCCAACATAAAATAGAAAATGTTTTTTTTTACCCGTTTGAATACATGATCATCCCTTTTTATATTATGACAGGCTTTACTGGATGAAGAACAGAGACAAATTAAGTTTGGCCGTTCAATGGAAAATGCCCGTTCCACTGACACCTTTAACTATGCTACCTACCATACCTTCAATGAGGTATGTGTTTAACTTTGTAAATAAATATTTAGCTTGTCATAGCTAAATATAGTCTTTGCAACCAATAAATGATCATCTAATTGCAAAATCTTACAACCATATGAATGTAATTTTAATTCTGTAATTTAACCATTCAGCCTGATAACTTGGTGACTTTTCTCTCTGCTCCGTACCCAACAATACACAGACAATTGTCTTCATAAATCATAGCTTCTTACTCAATCTGATCTATCATATGACTGTGTATTTGCAAATCCTACACATATATTATGTGTTCCTTCAGATTAACACTTTTATTGACCAACTGGTGGCCGAAAACCCTAGCTTGGTGAGCAAAATTGAGATCGGCAAAAGCTATGAAGGACGCCCACTCAATGTCCTCAAGGTAAGTGATAAATGATTTTTGAAAATTAATTTACACTCACCATCCACTTTATTAGGTGCGCCCTGCTAGTACCAATAAAATATCGCCCGACACCATTACACCACCAGCCTGAACTGATACAAGGCAGGATGAATCCATGCTTTCATGTTGTTTACGCCGAATTCTGAACCTACCATCTGAATATTGCAGCAACCAGTCTGCCCATTCTCCTCTGACTTCTGACATCAATAAGACATTTTCGTCCACACAACTGACGCTCACTGGATATTTTCTCTTTTTTGAGCCATTCTCTGTGAACCCTAGAGATGGTTGTGCAAATCCCAGTAGAATCCCTCAGTAGTTTTTTAAATACTCAGACCAGTCCGTCTGGCACCAACAACCATGCCACGTTCAAAGTCACTTAAATCCCCAAATACAAATACTCAATTTGAACTTCAGCAATTTGTCTTCACCACGTCTAGATGCATAAATGCATTGATGCCATGTGATTGGCTGATTAGCAATTTGTGCTACCAGAGTAGGGATGTCAGATTCATGTCAGGAATTTTTCGGCATCCAATAGACGATATTCCCATGTACATGAAATAGATCATATAGTAGCAGGCCCGGACTGGCCATAGGGTGCACCGTGCATTTGACTGGTGGGCTGAGGCTGCTGGGCCTCATGTCCTAAGAAGAGCAGCCTGTTGATGACTGGGCCGCACAGTGGGAGGTAAGCGGTGGCCGTGGTCTGGACGGGGTTAACAGAGACCGTGGCTGCTGCTCGCCTCCTGCTATGCAGCCATGCCTACAGCAGGGCTAGCTCCAGCAAACTAGAAAGTGCAGAAGGGGACCTGCCAGCAGGAGAAAAATACCTCCCAGGCTGGCCACTGGAAATACACTGCATGAAACAATGGTGGGCTCTCTCCTAATCATGACAGCTGCACAGGGGAGGAAGGTGAGCACAGTATGTGTTATAGCCACATATCCCGCTCTCTAGCAGTGGTGTATGTGTGTGGGGGGGAGTGTATTGGGCCCTTTGCTGGATTTGGGATGTCTCTTTGCTATATGGAGCTGTCTCTTTGCTAGATTGGGCTCTCTCTTTGCTGGATTTGGGATGTCTCTTTGCTGGTTTGGGCTGTCCCTTTGCTATATGGAGCTCTCTTTGCTGGATTGCGCTGTTTCTTTGCTGGATTGGGCCATCTCTTTGATATATGGAGCTGTCTCTTTGCTGGGTTGGGCTGTCTTGTTGCTTGATTGGGCCATCTTTTTGCTATATAGACCTGTGTTTTTGCTGGATTGGGCCAGATCTTTGCTATATGGGGATGTCTCTTTGCTAGATTGGGCTCTTTGCTGGATTTGGGATGTCTCTTTGCTGGATTGGGCTGTCCCTTTGCTATATGAAGCTGTCTCTTTGCTGGATTGGGCTGTCCCTTTGCTATATGAAGCTGTCTCTTTGCTGGGTTGGGCTGTCTCCTTGCTGGATTGATCTGTTTCTTTGTTGGATTGGGCCAGCTCTTTGCTATATGGGGATGTCTCTTTGTTATATGGAGCTGTCTCTTTGCTGGTTTAGGCTGTGTCATTGTTGGATTGGGTCATCTCTTTGCTCCATGGAGCTGTCTCTTTGCTGGATTGGGCTGTCTCTTTGCTGGATTGGGCCATTTCTTTGCTATATGAAGCTGTCTCTTTGCTGGATTGGGCTTTCTTGTTGCTGGATTGGACTCTCTCTTTGCTGGATTTGGGATGTATCTTTGCTATATGGAGCTGTCTGTTTGCTATATGGAGCTGTCTCTTTGCTGAATTGGGATGTCTCTTTCCTGGATTGGGCCACATCTTTGCTATATGGAGATGCCTCTTTGCTGGATTTGGCTGTCTCTTTGCTGGATTGGGCCATCTCTTTGCTATATGGAGCTGTCTGTCTGTTTGCTGGATTGTGCTGTCTCTTTGCTGGCTTGGGCCATCTTTTTGCTATATGGAGCTGTCTCTTTGCCAGATTAGGCCATCTCTTTGCTATATGAAGCTGTCTCTTTGCTGGATTGGGCCATCTCCTTGCTATATGGAGCTGTCTCTTTGCTGGATTGGGATGTCCATTTGCTATATGGAGATATCTCTTTGCCATATGGGGATGTCTCTTTGTTAAATTGGGCTGTCTTGTTGCTGAATTGGGCTGTCTCTTTGCTTTATGGGGATGTCTATTTGCTGGATTGGAATGTCTCTTTGTTGGAGGGGGATGTCAATTTGCTGGATGGGAATGTCTCTTTGCTGGATGGTGTTTTCTGGGGGTAGGACTGTGCAGAGGAGGCAGAGATTAAAAGGGGAACCTCTGATTAGAGGGAAAAGGGGGGCATAACTGCAAAGGTCACTGTGATGGTGAGGGGACTGTAATTGCTAGGGGCTGTAATGTAAGGGGACTTCACTGTAAAGGAGCGCTACAATCAATATAGTGCCCCTTTACAAAGCAGTCCCCTTTTATATCACAGTGCCCCTTTACATTACATTGCGGAGGACCAACTCCTTGAGCCTCCCTTCACCAACCAAACCCCCCTTTACAAACACCCACCCCCTCATCCCATTTCCCCCCTTTTCCCCTGGTCCCTTGGCTGCTCAGTCTAAAATGCCCAAGCCTATTTTATTTCCCAGTCCAGTCCTTTATAGTAGTGTTTTCTGGTACATATTGTTGAGACAAGTAACTAACATTTGCCAAATGACATGCTGTCAGATATTGTTTTTGTCATAAATGTGTTGCCTTTCTTCTTTAGTTCAGTACTGGAGCCAATCGTCCCGCTTTCTGGATTGATACTGGAATTCATTCTCGGGAGTGGGTCACTCAGGCCAGTGGCATCTGGTTTGCCAAAAAGGTAGATAACCATAACTCCTATATTTCCTGGATTAGAGTTGTGTATGATCACAGCACAAGTTTTTGAGTATGACACTAAACTAGTCTGCCAGCACAAATCACGTTACTGGTTTAGGAGATGATCAGGGCTCTTGAATTTCTGTGAAGTACTGTTAAGAGAGTACTGTGCTAGTGTCCTCATCTTAAAATGGTAATAGCCTGGCTAGCCTGCCCATCCTCCATCTTTGGTATTGAGTAACTTTTAATCAAACAAGACGATCTTTTCATAAGTAAAATGTATTAATAAAATTACAATAGAAGAAATTTCTTTCATCAGGAAATGCACCAACCATTAAGAGATTCATTTGAAATATATGTAGACTGTAACCATAATTTAAAGTCCAATAAAATTAATGCATAAAAAGAATATACAATGATTTCATTATGTATCTTCTCATGCAGATTGTCACAGATTATGGCAATGACCCTTCTCTCACTGCCACTCTCAACAGTCTGGATATCTATTTGGAAATCGTCACCAACCCTGATGGCTATGCTTACACCCACTCCAATGTAACTATGCTGTAATCTCTTTTGTGTTTTTCATCATTTTACCATAATTACATAATGTATTTACTGTATATCATCAGCAAAAAAATTAGCATTTCCCTATTAAATAATCCATCTTTATTGTTACAGGACCGTATGTGGCGTAAAACCAGATCTCCAAATAGTGGCTCTTCCTGCGTAGGAACTGACCCCAACAGAAACTGGGATGCTGGTTTTGGCGGTAACATTTACTTTTTTTCCATGTCAGATTCTATAAATAATGTTATGTTCTAGGAGACAATTTAAATAAGAGGCTAAAGCTAGTAGTGGTAGGGGATGGGCTTGATGTGTCAAAAGCTGAATTTCCTAAAAGTCCTAGAATATACGTTTAGTCAATCCATTTTTCATTGTAGTCCATTTTGCATTCACCACAGCTTCCATGATCAGTTTACGAAATTACACTGTACTGTAAAGGAGCATATTTCTCCTGCGTGAGCCTGGTTATTAAAACATTGTAGTCCAAGTCAAGCCAAAAATCTGTAAATCCAGACTTACTGGCAAAAGCAAAGACTACATCCACTAATTGACAAAACATTATTTTTTCAGTTTTGAAAAGAGTGAGGAAGTTCCATTACATTCTTTCCTACAAGACACAAGTTCCCCTTTTAGGGACAACATTAAAAAACCTGAAAAAGACTGTTTCTGTTACAAATATTTTCTTAATTTTCCTATTCCCCTATTACCAGGAAATGTAATAAGGGGAAATGCCCCAGTGAGGAGATATTAGGGATTACACAATTAATAGGTATTACTAAAATTGATGAATTATTCACCAGGTGGTGGATCCAGCAGCAACCCTTGCACTGAGACCTACAGGGGACGTGCAGCCAATTCTGAGGCTGAAGTCAAGGCCATTGTGGACTTTGTGAAGAGCCATGGTAATATCAAGGGATTTGTTTCAATCCACAGCTATTCTCAGATGCTCCTCTACCCCTATGGATATACTAGTACTCCTGCACCTGACCAAGCTGAATTGGTAAGCTCAATGAGCTTTGCTTATCAATATTTCTGTGTATTATTTCACTGACAATCAACATATTTTTTACTTCAAAAGTTGCCTGTAGTAGCAAAATGTGTGGAAACAATAAATTTAAAATGTTTGCCTTATTTTCTATACAGCATGCAGTGTCTACAAGAGCAGTTAATGCTTTGGCATCCCTCTATGGCACCAGATATACCTACGGAAGCATTATCACCACTATCTGTAAGTATTTACTTAAAATACTTAGCATTGCCTCAATGGAAGTTAACAAAGATTCCAAAGAATCTTTTTTGGATATCTTGAAAAATGTAATTCTGATCATGTTTTTAAAAAATTTTTTCTCTGCTCTATCTGTCATAAAAAATCATTTAAAACCTTTTTATTTTTTCAAATTCAAAACCTTTTTTTATTTCCAACACCATCAGCAACTGTTTTGTTTTCTTTTTTCTTTGAAGACCAAGCCAGTGGTGGAACCATTGACTGGACCTACAACCAGGGTATTAAACACTCCTACACCTTTGAGCTTCGTGACACTGGTCGCTATGGATTTGCTCTTCCAGCTAACCAAATCGTTCCCACAGCTCAGGAGACCTGGTTGGCCCTTACTGTTCTTATTGAGCACACTCGTGATAATCTCTATTAAACTATAATCTAGTATGTACAATAAAAATTCATAACCACCCTAAACTGACTTGTGTTTACTTTCACCCTAATGGAAACTATATTGGTGTTTTGTCAGTTTTATTTTTTGAGTTAACAAGTATTTAAACTGATTTTATATTTGTAAATAACCCTTATCTTACAAACATTAAAATATATCTAAACCCAACTTTTTTTCAAATTTTGGATAGATTTGGATAGATTGGTAAACCTCTGTCAGGTTTTTATTGCTACTGACAACTGTCTGAGAGACGATCTTTCTCTGTTTGGAAAGTTTTCCTCCTTCTCCCTATTGTGTCTACAGAGACACAGGTAGCAAAAGAGAAACTTAACAGAGGTTTTAACCATTCCCGCTATCCAAAATTATTAATGAAAAAGTTTTGAGTTTAGATATATTTTAAACGCTCCCTCTCATATTCACCCCATGACACTCATTTTTCAAAGCATTCTAAGCTTTATCATTAGAAAGCCGAAAACTGCCTCCTTGCTTGTTAGCCACCTATGTAAACTGATGCTCTTGTCTCTGACAGAACAGGGAGAGGGGGTTGTATCCCCCCCTAGGTCATTTTTTTGTATTTAAGCACTGCTATCTCAGGCTTGAGAAAACTACTGCTCTTGCACAGAATTTGCTGCCTGATGAAAGAAAATGGTAAAAATAAAATTTTGATTAAAAAAAATATTTTATAGTTTTATTCTTACGTGTTGAACATAATAAAGAGAATATATTTAAAAACACTACACAGTACATTTCCTTTAAGATTGATTGATTTATTGATACAATTGCATCAGATAATCATTTGCAAAAGAAACCCAAAAGATACAATTTCTTTTGCAAAGGAGTTTATTAGCAGAATCAGAAAGAAATTTTTCATCCAAGATACAGTGAAACACTTTATCAAGTATGAGCAGTTTGGGTAAACAAATATTATAAACACAAGTAATTACAGTGTTAGAGATTTTAGTCCATAAACCTCAAAATAATAAGAATGTAATCCCACAAAATACAATTTCTTACAAAACTTTGCCTGTCATGTGTTGAGACCCAAAAATGCATCTGAATTTCTGTTACCCACTTTTATACATTGGGTGTAATTAATTTCAGACTGGTTGGAACAAAAGGTATAAAACAGACAAACAAAATAACAGAGTATTAAATGCTGTATAGTAACAGATAATCCAGAAATGGTTCCCTCGCTTGACTACCAGTTAGCAGCATAGAATAACATGCTTGCTTCATATATATTCGTTTGAAGTACAAAATCCTCCCATTTCTCCCATCTCCTATTATATATCTCCATCTTACCCTCTTGGATATAGTATAATTTCTCCATTTTACTAATCTGATTTACTCTCTCTACCCAATCTTTTTCTCTCGGGACCTCTAAACTATGTCAGAATCTAGGTATCAACCCCTTTGCTGCATTTACATAGTACCATATACCCGAATCCTTGTATTTATTCACTGGTATATCTGTCTTATGTAACAAACACACTTCTGGATCTAATCCTATCTTTATCCCTGAGATTTTCTCTATTAAGTTGACCATTTTCTCCCAAAAACTTTGAATCCTTGGGCATTCCCACCAAATATGAAACCACGTACCAATCCCTCCACACCCACGCCAGCACTCTTGTGTTCTCTCTATACCCATTTTATGTTCTACCTTTGGTGTGATGTGCCATCTTACCAAACTTTTATAATTTACCTCCACTTCTCTCATGCTGATATTTTCATGTGTGAGTCTATATATTTTCCTCTGTTTATCCTCATCTATCTCTGTCCCCAAGTCCTTTTTCCCATTTTTCTATATACATTGGTTTTACCTCTGTGACTAATTCAGTGAGAATTTTATATATTTTTGCCGTGCCCCGTTTCCCCTCTCCCCGTGATTCCAACAACTTCTCAAATAAGTTCCAATCCTTTCTCCCTCTCATAGGTTTCGGAAGACTCTCAACAAAGTGTTTTAATTGGTGGTATTTCCACTCATCGATCTTAATAAAAAGTTCCCCTCCACCTTTCTTTAAATCTTTTAATGTTTTCAATTTCTGTCCATCCATAATATCCCTTAATTGAATGTCTTCCTTTTTAATCCATTTTCCCATAATCCCCTCTATACCTGGTGGGAAATATTCCATATTTCTTAGTGACATTAATTGTGAATTAAAATCCCACTTCATACGTTTATGTAAATTATCCCAAACCTTTAGAACATTCAGTGTATATACACTCGTGGTATTTTTTAAACCTCTATATTGTATTGGTGCCCATATGCTTCTACTCAGGTCAACTCCACTCAGTTCGTTCTCTATCTTAACCCACCTTTTTCCCCTTATATTGTGTGTCCAGTCATAAATTCTTGTTAAAACTACAGCGTTATAGTATCTCCTAAAATCTGGCACTCCCAATCCCCCTCTCTCTTTACCTCTACTCATCAGGTCATAGGATATTCTAGGTTTTTTTATTTTTCCATATAAATTTTGTTATATCATCTTTTTTAATTTCTTTAAAAAAGGCCTCTGGGAGACTTATTGGGATCATCTGAAATTTATACAAGACTTTGGGTACAATTATCATTTTTATCAGATTTATTCGTCCTAACAAGAGGGAATTCCTCTTCCCATTATCTTCAGTTCCTCTTTGATCTCATTTAGAAGAGCAATATAATTTAATTTATACAATTTTGTATATGAAGCAGTAAGTTCAACCCCTAAATATTTTATCTCTGTATCTCTCCATATAAAAGGGAATTCTCTTTGTATCTTTTCTTTCTCACCATTTGGAAGATTTACGTTTAAGATCTCAGTTTTTGTCGGGTTGATTTTTAAGTTTGATATTTCCCCATACTCTTTTAAACTTCTTATTAAATTCGGGAGTGTTATCCTAGGATTTCCCACATAAAACAACAGGTCATCTGCAAAAGCTGCCACTTTATGTTCAGTTTCCCCTATTTGTATTCCCTTTATATCTACGTTCTTCCTAATTGTTTCCAACAAGGGTTCCAATGATAATACATACAACAATGGGGACAGTGGGGCATCCCTGTCTTGTCCCGTTTGGCATCCCAATGGGCTCAGACTTTTCACCATTTACCAAAATAACCGCGGATGGCATTTTATACAACTTTCCTATCCACTCCCTCATTCTACCACCTACTCCCATGATCTCTAGGGTATCCATCATAAAGCTCCAGTTTACTCTATCAAAAGCTTTTTCGGCATCGATCGAGAGCACCACTGCTGGGGTTTTCCCTTTTTTAGCTTTCTGGATCAGCAACAAAGTTCTGATTCCGTTGTCCCTACCCTCTCTCCCTGATACAAAACCAACCTGATCTCCCTGAATCCATTCCGGCATCAAGTCTTTCATCCTATTTGCTAAGACCTTTGCATATAGTTTTGTATCTATATATTTAGGAGTGCAATTGGCCTATAACTAGAGCATTGAGTAGCGTCCTTCCCTTCCTTATGTATAAGTGTTATATGGGCTTGTAGGGATTCCTGTCTAATCTCCATTTCTCCACCCAGGGCATTCATATACTCCTTCAATTTAGGTATTAACAGTTCACTATATTTTTTATAATACCTCACGGTATATCCATCTGGGCCAGGGCTTTTCCCCACCTTAGTATCTTTCAACGCTATCTTTATTTCCTCCTGTGTAATTTCCAACTCCAGGGATTTCAATAGATCTTCATCTATCTTTGGTAGTCCTGCATTTTTTAAATATGCCCTTCTTTTTTCTCTATTTTTATTTTCACTATTATTTGCTAAATTCTGGGAATTAATATTATACAGCTTGCTATAATATTCCTTGAATACCTTCCCAATCTCTTTAGTAGAGTGAGCCATTTCTCCCTTGGGATTTCTTATTTTTTCTATATAATTTCTATTTTTCTTTTTTCTCAGGGTTCTCATTAAGTGTTTTCCTGGTCGATCTCCCCATCTATACCTCTCTACTGCTACTTTATTGAGTACTCTCCTCCTTTCTTCTTCCATTAATATCTCCAACTCCTTCTTCTTTCCTAATACCTTCTGCCTTATCTCACTTGTTATTCTATTTTTATGGATCTGTTCCAGGTCGTATATTTCTTTTAAGAGCCCTGTCAGTTTCTTACTCCTTTCCTTTTTCTTTTTTGTCCCTAGCGCGATCAATATACCCCTAATATATACCTTATGGGATTCCCAGACAGTGGCCACTGATACATCCCCTGTTTTATTCTCTTGAAAGTATCTTTCCATCTCTTTTCTGATCTGCTGATCGATCTCTTGATCTAATAAAAGGGCCTCATTTAACCTCCATCCTACCCCCCTTGTCAACTGCCTCCCCCATCTTACCTTCATTATAACTGGGGCATGGTCTGAGATAGTCATTGTCTCTATTTCTACTTTAACCACCCTCTCAATAAGTTGATGATCTACCATTATATAATCCAATCTCGAGTAAGTCTCGTGTGCATTAGAGAAGAAGGTATAGTCTCTTTCCTTTCCATGCGTTATTCTCCATATGTCCACTAGTTGGCCCTCATGTATCTCCTTCTTTAAGATTTTCATAGACCTACCTCCCTCTCGTTGCACACGAGAGGTTGTATCCATCTGTGGGTCTAAACATAAGTTCAGATCTCCCGCCACTATCAATCTTCCCTTTTTAAAATCCATCAGCTTTCTTAGTATCCCTTTCAGGTATACTTCAGGTCTCTTATTTGGGCAGTATATATTCGCTATTGTACACTCTATTTCCTGCAACCTACCTTTCAAAAACAAAAATCTCCCCTCAGGATCCGTCACTCTATCCTCTACCTCCCACCTTACATTTTTAGCAAACCCAATTGCCACCCCCTTAGCTCTCTTAATTGGGGAGTCTGCATAAAACCATGTTGGATAGTTTCTAGTGATTAATTTAATATTTGACTTAATCTCAAAATGCGTCTCCTGTAAAAAAAACTACCGAAGCTTCTCTATGTTGCAACTCCTTAAATAGCTTAAATC